ATTTAAGTATATAATATAGCTATATACACATGGTCTCGGTATTTTTACTGCTGTTACTTAACTGTATATTTCACATGCACTGTAAATCAATGCTATCTATATTTATGTTAGCTGTATTGGCACAAATAGCTTCAACATGTTGATGTCTTTCATTCACAGTGAAGCTATCGGAGTCATCCGCCCCTCGACAGAGATCTGTTGTTATGTTCTGTAATTGCTCTTCACACAACGCGTTTTCCATACAGCCTTGATATTCCTGTTACATAACGTTAGTTAGTTAGTTATCTGGTGAAGTTTTAGCTACTTGCTAACAACAACAGGGAGCTGTGCACTTGCCTGTTGAGCTAAAAGCTGCCGCCTAAGTTTTTGTCGCTCGCGGATCTCTTGCAGCCGACTGTTCATCTCCTCCTGTGTAATGTTTCTAATCAGTTGCAGTATTAATGTAGTAATGCCCTCGGTCGTTGTTACATCCAAACCGTGGCTGTATAAACGTGATTAGCTAGCTATAACAGTAGCCAACAAGCAGCTAATGTGTAGCCGCTAAAATTCACAATGGGTGTGTTTGTTATGGACACCGGGGCGGTCGGGCGAGATACGGCCTTGACAAATGTGGAGTTAGCCGCTAAAATAAAGACATTTACGCTGCGACTGCTTAATGGCTGTTGTCTCATTCGTGTATAGTGAGTCGGATTTGCATCCGAGAGGGCGCAGGCAGCCCGGTTGGAGTGGGTCAAACGGCGAAAGGAGCGGTTTCACGAGGGTTGACACCGCCCACCCGGGCGAGGTTCGGCGTACGCCGATTTCCAGAGTCTATACTTTCGCGATTTTATGGACGCCGTCTGATGGGGTCACTAGATATGACGCTTTTGTTTATCCAATCAGATAATAGTATATTGTAGACGCCGGAGCGTCTCTCTCTCTCTCTCTCTCTCTCTCTCTCTCTCTCACACACACATTCAAACACTATGAAAACATTGTTTCATAACCTATTGCATTATGTCTGTCATCTAATACGAACAAAGGGAGAGACAAAGCGAGTTTATTTATCTTTAATGATTCATCATCCACATCCGCAGCATATATGCCTCACTGGCTCCAAATGGAAGATTGTTTTTATTTGGATAAGCAACCTATTATTATTATTAATTATTATTTTTTTCTCTTGTACATAGTGTTTATATTATATTATAGTATTTCCCTACTCTTAAATCACCCGCCTATTATTGCGATGTTAGACCATTTGATTGAGATTTGACTTAATGTGTGAATGTTGATTTAATAGAATCAGAGTATCTCAGGTATTATAAAGCAAATTTTACAGGGAAGTTGACGAGAGAAGCCCAATCCAGAGGCATAATCACCTTTTTTTTTGGAGTGGAAATAGCCTATTTGTTGAGCGGACAGACATGACGGATGATTACTGTTGATTAGGCGTCAACCTATGTCGCAGGTTTGTTCCTCAGAAAGTTGGTTGTTGCTAAGCTAATATGCTTTGTGACTGTCCTTCAATAATAAGATAAGATATTCCTGTTATTCCGTTCTATGTGTCCCAGTGATGGGGAAATTCCAATTTTTGTGTTACAGCAGCAAAGTGGGTTTAGGAGAAAAAAAACAGTATAAAAACAA